ATTAGCGCAGATTTTTCTGCAGATGGGAACCAGGAGGAAGTTGTTCAGACCCCAGCGGGTGAAGTGATGCTGCGTGGCGCTTCGGGTTAGAGGTCGACCCACTGATGTGAAACCTGAATGATCCAGCCCAGTTCTCTGTCAGCAGTCCTTCATTTCTCTGCAGATTTTTTCTGCATAATCAGCAGTCCGCGTTCTGCAGCAGCTGCAGCCTGAATTTGACCTTCTGAATTATTCAACCCTTTGTCTTGCTGTACAGGTGTGCGACTCGGACACCGTTCTGGATCCGGCTTGTACTATAGAGATGCTGAAGGTTCTGGAGGAAGACCCGATGGTGGGGGGAGTCGGCGGGGACGTGCAGGTAGGAAGCGGAGCTGAACGTTGATCTGAAGGATCTTTGATTAGTTTTCTGCAGTGAGCAGAGCTGAGAGAGCTCTGAGTCTGGAAGAGGTCATCTGAAACACTGACAGGCTTAAAAACACCAAATCTGTGTTATATAGAATTAAAATTAGGGCCGAAACTACCAATTAATTTAGATTAATTTATTCTGATTATTAATGGGATAAAAAAAGTTACTGTTTTTTTAACAGAACAATGAACAGCATATATACTATATGCCCCCATTATATTTACTTTGTTTAATTTATATTTTATTTTTGTAACCTCTGTTTGTTTGTTTATTTTTTTAGTTATCCACCTACTTATTTAAATAATTGTTGGGTTTTTCATGTGCTGTATTTTATTTTTGGTTTATCTTTAGTGAACAGATTACTTGAGACAGTCATTTATATATACATTTTCTATTTTTATACAATATTCAAGCCCTAATTTAAATTAGAAAATAAACATTTTGCATAGCTTTAATTGACGCCTGATCATTTCATTCGTCTATAAAAATACTTCTAACATCAACATGTAAAAACATCAGTATAGTAGGTCTGATGTGTTAATTTATTTTTGGAGAGTTTTGACTTAATTTCTGCTCTGACTGTTGTTCTTTGCTGAAAGAAAATTATTTGTTTTCTACAAGACATTTCTCTGCACCATGTCGCCCTCCAGATCCTCAACAAGTACGACTCGTGGATCTCGTTCCTGAGCAGCGTGCGCTACTGGATGGCCTTCAACATCGAGCGAGCCTGCCAGTCCTACTTCGGCTGCGTCCAGTGCATCAGCGGCCCGTTGGGGATGTACAGGAACTCCTTGCTGCAGCGCTTCCTGGAGCCCTGGTACCACCAAACCTTCCTGGGCTCCAAGTGCAGCTTTGGCGACGACCGCCACCTCACCAACCGGGTGCTCAGCTTTGGCTACAAGACTAAATACACGGCGCGGTCGCAGTGCCAGACGGAGACACCCACGCAGTACCTGCGTTGGCTCAACCAACAAACACGGTGGAGCAAGTCTTACTTCCGTGAATGGCTCTACAACGCCCTCTGGTTCCACAAGCACAGTCTGTGGATGACCTACGAGTCGGTGGTCACCGGTTTCTTCCCCTTCTTCCTGGTTGCAACAGTGATCCACCTGTTCTACCGCGGGAGGCTCTGGAACATCCTGCTCTTCTTGCTGACGGTGCAGCTGGTTGGGATGGTGAAGGCCACCTACGCCTGCTTCCTGCGAGGAAGTCTGGTCATGATCTTCATGTCGCTCTACTCTCTGCTCTACATGTCCAGCTTGCTTCCTGCCAAAATGTTTGCCCTGCTCACCATCAACAAGGCCGGATGGGGAACGTCTGGCCGTAGGAAGATAGTGGTCAACCTCATTGGCGCTGTGCCGGTCACAGTTTGGGCGCTGGTGCTGCTAGGAGGCGTAGCGTACACCGTCTACTGTGAAACCCAGGAGCCATTCAGCGAAATGGAGAAGGCCTTGTTGATAGCGGGGACAGTGCTGTACGCCTGCTACTGGCTCATCCTGCTGGTGCTGTACTTAGCCATTGTAGCAAAACGATGCAACAAGAGGGAGGAGCAGTATCACCTGCCGTACGCGGAGTCCTGAACCGCGGCGGCCGGATGGCTTCCAGGTTTGACTCTACAAGGTGGAGCAAAGAGCTGGGATCTTCAACACTGGTGCTACAAAGATGAGAATCTGAAATCTGGGAGATGGCTGGTGCTTCCACTGTTTGGATTCAGACCTTAAAGCTGCAGTGTGTGACTTTTATTTAAAAAATGTTTTAAACCTGTCACCATGTCAGGAGACAATTAATCTGTTGATATAATTTATCTCCTCCCTGAGACCAAAAACAACAAATCAGAGCCAGAAGGCGGGTCCTAGCGCCGTCAATAAACCTCATATACTGGTTGCTAAATGTGCTAGTGGCGGAAACAACTCAGATGACAGGAAAACCTTTTATCCACCTTTATCGGTGGCTATGCTAACTAGCTTTAGCATTCACAACAAGATCTGCTGACGGGGAAAAGCTGTAGTAGGGATCAAGCAGGGAATGGAAGGGGGATGAGCAGCACTGCACAAGATTGTGATTGACAGCACTTAGACCGGCCTCCTGACTCTGACTGGTTGTTTTCTTCAGAGAGGAAGTGGAGGAGATTGATCTTTTCACAGATTATCTGTCTCATAACAAACTGTCCTGACAGGCCACAGCTCTGACAAATATGTAAAAAACAAATTTTTTTATAAACGTTACATCTGCAGCTTTAAAGTGTTCAGACAGACATTATTGAGGAGAAATTAGCGGCAGACCTGTGATTTTTTTATTTTTATTTTTAATTGCTTTACAAACCAGAAGTGAGAAAATTAGAGGAGGAAACCTCAAAGTTCCTGATGCGTCTGAGGCAAAATTGAAAATATTTTTAAATCCAGTTCCAGTCCGGTCCTGTACAGAGGTGGGTAGTAACTAGTTACATTTACTTGAGTAACTTTTGGGGTAAAAAAATTACTTTTAGGAGTATTTTTACTATGTTGTACTTTTAACTTTTACTTGAGTAACTATAATTAAGTGTCTCTTCACTAAATGAAGAACAAATGTATTTCAATATGAAACTGTCAGAAGTTTCATACTGAAAGAAATTGATTTTGATTTTTTTTTTCCCTTTTGCCTTATTTTATTTTTTTGTAATTATGTTCTTTCAGAAAACTTGCTAAGCCTGGTGGTTGGGGCGATCCAGTCATCTGCCGTGTTTTTGAGTTAAAAAATGTTTATAGTTGACAGGAAGTTTGTGATTTTGTATTAGCAATACCTAAATACCAACTACAAAGTCTTAAAAAAGGCAAACATAAAAAATACAATTAAAATAAATATAATTTTTTGCACTTTAGTTGTTTAATCCGAAGTAAAGTGTCCAAAATTTTGGGATCTTTTATCCGTTACATATTGTTGTATCATGTAGATCAGTGAAGACAGGAAGTGATCAGAGAGTAAAAATCGACGCCTGATGTCAGTTTCCTGGGTGTTGACATACTGACCACATCGTGCTGCCTTTGTGCTCCACAGGCTCTTTAACTCGTCTTTGCTTTCACTGTTAATGGTTCATAAAAAAAAAAACTATAATTAATAAACAATGTTTAGCCAAGTTAAGCCTGGTGGCCCGCCAGGCTTATAATACACTGTATTTATATGAATTATTTTCACTTTGAGTTTTAAAATAACTAAATTTCCTCTTAAAAGACTTTTCACCAAATTCATTTTTACTCTTAATTGGATGGCAACTTTCTTTCTGCTCTTACTTGAATACATTTTTAGCTATTCTGCCCACCTCTGCATATCTACTGTCCGTAAGCCTTTAAATGCATTTCTGCTTCTGCACACCTGTCTTCATTTAATTACTCATTATCAGGCCTCTGCAGAGCAAAAAGGTCCTAATGAACAATTTGATTCCGATGTCAAACAAGGGAGCCATCTAAAAGTTGAGTAGCAGCTCTCCAGGACTGGACTTTGGCACCCATCATGTACAACCAACCAATAAGAAAACATTCAAGCTGCAGAGTAAAAACATGCACTGATCTCAGGGTAGTGCAAGTCTAACTTTAGAATGATGATTAAATTAAAATAGCAGGAAGAAGAGCAGCTCTCAGTTGGTCAAAAATAAAGGAAACACCGCAATGACAAAGCTAATATCTGAACGTGAAAAGAGTGAAAAGTTGGACTGAAAGATCAGTAGTTTCTCTCAGCTTCTGTCAAAACAAATTGGTCAAGAGTTGCTGTATTTCTGTCACAAACCTTGATATGAAGCAACAAGAATCTTAGAAAAAGTGTATAGAAATGTAATATATGTTGAAAATGTCAACACCCAGCTGGTGGAAATGAAGCTTCAGTCAGAAACAACCTGAAGGTGATCGCTATGAAGCTGAACCTGAAGAAATCAGTTATTTCTGGCTTTCGCTGTTTTGTTTCAAGATAATCGGAAAGCAAACAGTGTGGAGAGTCCAGAACCCAAATATTTAGAAGAAACAGAGAACATTTGCACTCAGGGGACATTTTTTTAAAAGTCCTGATCTATTCATACTGTATTTTTATTTTTCTTTCTTCCAGGCGGCAAGAGATTCATTTTTAAAATGGTCTTGATCAGTAGTTCTCCAAGATTTATGAAGTTTTCTTTAAACTTTGGCTGCTTTTCACTCATTTTCTGTTCAGTCTTTTTACCTGACTATTTTCAGATTTTTCAGTTAGTTTGTAAAGCCAATAAATTTTAAGTAATACTCAATGGATAAACAGTGTTGAGTCAATAGATAACTTAAACCTTTGTTAAATTTGATCTGCAGACATCTTTCATTACCAGAAGCCAGTCACCAAAATACATTTAGTTTGCATTTCTTTTGCTGGAATAAGAAAAAAAAACTAAAATATTGCAGTTTTACAGACATCAAATAGTAAAATAGCTTCAACAAAGTGATTTCCAAACAGCAATTACCTAAAAATATAAACGCAGTTAATCATTTGAGGAATTATACTTTTTCTCTGTTATTACAATAGTTTGAAAACCTTAGAGAACTGCAGAAATTTTAACATTATTCTCTCTCTCATGTAAGTCATTACATTAGCTCAGCTGAGCCTGTCTTAGCGTAGCCTACCTTAGTTCTGTCAACATAAACATAGCTCGACTGAATTTAGCCTACTCTAGCATATTTTACCTTTTCTACTTAGTCCTGTCTTGTGTTTGATTATCGTAGTTTGGGTTATATTACTTTTTTGCATCTGACTTTACTCCCCATTAGCTTGCTTTAGCTTACAATGTCTTAGATTAGCTTAGCCAAATTTAGCATGTATGATTACCTGATTACAGTTTTAATACCATAAACAGTTAATCTATCAGATTATGAAGATGGCGTAGTCTACACACAAGAAGATTTAATCACTTTCTTGTAATTTTAATCTTCATAAATATTTGAACGTTTTTTATGTTAAGTGAGCTCACCAGCTGCTAGTAATGTGCCTTGATGAATATGAATATCTGTGCCAACATTAACTTCTTATTTTTATATTATGTAGTTTGGCCGCCATCCAGCAGAGGGCGCCGCTGGTCATCCTTAAGCGGAGTCAATTGATATAAACAAAGATGGCGGCGGTATCGCAGAACGGAAAGGAGAAACGGTTTATACCGGTCCTGTGTAGAAATTTAAATACTGGAGAAGTTTACCTCAGCAGCGTCAGAATATTATAAAAATTTACCCTTTATGTTATTTAAAGACGGTCGGCCCTCTAGATAAGCGAACACGGAGGGTTTTAAGAAAATGATCTTAAGATTAGCTCATTCGTGATAACTTGCGTCCCACTCTGTATTTATCAACGTCAAATTTGAGTGAAAATAAGCTTATGGCAGCTAAAGTCCAAATAAAAAAAAAACCGTTAGAAGGCTACTGATCAAGACCACATTAAAGGTGATGACGTATGATTGGAAACATTCAGCAACTTAAAACTAAAGTTTTGTAACGACTGTATGCAGACAGGAATGAGGGGGGGAATCAGATTTTTATGACTGGGTTTCAGAGTCTGAACCCAGCAGCTTTGACTCCGTCCCGCTGGTCAACAGCAGCACAATCACCTGCTCCAAGCAGAACATCTGAATCATCAAGCAGCTGGATTTCTGGTGCTGTCAAGGACTAATTTATTCTTCATGAGGGTCCAAGTCTCCGTTTACAGCCTCAACTATAGTTTCATTCACCAATTCAGAGATTGTTTTAAACATTTTCCTAGGATGCCAGCTTTCATTTGTGTAACAGTGAAGTTTTTCTATCGAACATTGTTCTTTTTTGATATTTGGGTCATTTTACGTTGGATGGACTTTGTTCAAAACCGTGTAAAGACTGAACACCAAAGAGATTTAAGTTATAAAATCTGGAAGCGTGTCTCCAGTGGACTTTCTCTTTTAATTTATGTTTTTCTGTTGTTGTTTTGTTCAATTTTAAATGTATAGATTCAAAAAGGACTTGTACATTAAAAGAAAAAAATGTGTTTTTAAGATGTCATGAGTTCTTGATTCTTGGTCCGCCGTCTTGGAGCGACATCGGAAGCTAAATCCTAAACGATGTATTTTATTCTGAGACAATTCAACAGCTTACAGGTTTCTTATTTCAGTTTTTTTGGTCATAAACAAATCATTAGAACAAATCAGCAAAAAAAATTGCATTTGTTTTTAAATCACTAATTAATATAATTAATGTAGTTGATATATTATTATTTACTTATAGCATATTCTATAATACATTCTCCCCCACGTTATGACATGTTTAGCACTCTTTTTAAATCAACATTAAGGAATTATTTTCTTGAACCAAGCTCCAATATTTTGCTGAAAAGTTACTTGTGAGTTAGTTTTGTCTTATTTCAAGTGTACTGAGAGATTTGCACTAGAAACTAGACCACCTGGTTGTTTATTACTTTTGGATCTCACCTCAAAATAACAATCCTTGACAGTTTTTCACACTTCTCTACATAATCATTTTAAAATTAGTTTAACTCCAGGGGATAATTTCAATCTCTGGACCGTCTGTTTGCCATTCCAGGACCCAAAATTGGGACCCATCCCCCCCTTTGGGAACTATTCCACTAAATTCATGTTTTTTGACTTTGGAAAACAAGTTTAGAGGTTTGCGAAGAGTGAGTCGCTCAATGAATTGGTCCATTCAGTCATGGGGGCCTCAGACAGGCGGCCATTTTTTTTAAACGTGTGGGAACGCCTTCATCAAACACACCCTATAAACCATTAGCATTCTGGTAACATGTTGCTGCTGCAGCAGAGAGTAAGACTCTGAATGTTTGTCAGCAAACTAATGTTTTCTGATGATTCTTGGATAAAACCTGAACTTTTTATTCTGTTTGTCGCTGCTGCCCCCTGTTGGTCAGATAGTGGTTTTGCTCTGAAGGTGGGAGGTCCAAACTGTTATCTTAACCACTGTGACTTGAACAGATTGTCAAATTAGGGAGATTAACTCAAATTTTATAGGGAATAGGTAAAAATGTGTAAAATACCTTAAAAAATTAATGTTTTAAAGCTGAAAAATACGCTAACATGTAATCTGAATACAATTTTTATCTAAATCCTCATTGAAAGATGTCTGTTTCTAACTGCTGCACTTATTAG